TCAAGTGATTCTCTTGCCTCAGCTTCCGAAGTACCTGAGACTACAGACATGCATCACCACGCCCAGCTAATTTTTGTATTTTTAGCGGAGACAGGGTTTCACCATGGTGGCCAAGCTGATCTCGAACTCCTGACCTCAAGTGGTCCACCTGCCTCAGTGTTCCAAAGCTCTGGGATTACAGGCATGAACCATCACACCTGGCAATGTTTGGTGAATCTAAATGATAGGTATATAGAAATCCATTGTATTATTTCTTCAACTTTCCCACAGATTTAACATTTTTCCAAAAATAAATTGTGGTAAAAATTCCTGTATCAGTAAAATGAATTTTAAAAGTCTATAGGAAAGTCCAAAATCATCAATAATTTATATGTGGATTTTTTTTTTGAATTCAACAATTATTTATTGAGTGCCTATTACGTGCTAGATACTGTTCCAGGTACTTGAGACACATCAGAGAACAAAACCAAGAGCCCTGCCCTCGTGGGGCTTCCAGTCTAGCATTTATCGACAGTTCACCTGCAGGCTACCTGGGGCCTGAGGCAAGTCACTGCACCTCTGTGCTTGGGTCCTCAGCTGCCCAATGGGAGAATAAGCAGACCTGGCTCAGACTGGATAACGTGCCTGGTGTACTGTGGATGCCAAACTGGATACCCTCAACCCACCACCCAGACAGTAGATAGGGCTGGAAGTTGATTTTTAATGATGAAGTACAATGGAGGGAGGGCAGCGGTGCTAAGCCAAGCTGTCTGGGGTGCGGTGGCGTGAGGGGGGGTGGCTGGCTACACAAACTGCTGCTGCTGCTGCTGCTTGGTGGCCGTCTTGCTGGCGAGATCCTTGGCCTTCTCTGTAGCTGCCAGTGCTGTCTCTTTTGCCTTCTCCTTGGCTTCCTTGGCTGTCTCAACAAGTGTTTTGGAAGGGGCCTCACCTTGCAGCTTCGCCGAGATACATTCAAACCCTTCATAGTCTTGGTCACGTTGCTTTTGAACTGGGCAAGACCAAATTCCTGGACGGCTCTGGAGACACCAAATAAGCTAGAGGAGACCCAGGCTTCACGGCGGATTTCGGTCCAGCCACTGTTGTCAGAGTTCACACAGCAAACACATCGTTCCTCCACCACCATCAGCCGGGCGTGGTTGATGTCCTAGGTGAAGGTGGTCATGGTCTGATTCTGTGGGTCCACAGCAGAGTCCTCCAGGACGTACACCGAGTGAGCAACACTGGCAGGAGACAGTCACTCGGCCCAGCGGGGCATCCTGTTGGTCTTGGTCAGGAGTCGCCGGGACAGCAGTTTCTGGTCAGGGATCACCTCCCGGCGTACTGTGTCTTCTGTCAAGACGTGTTTGCTATAGGGGTTCGGGTACCGCTGCCAGAAGGCGGCGAACACTTGGTCCCAGAAACTCCGGAGCACACTCTGGCCCAGGAAATACTTCACCATCGTCCCGGCCGGAGCGGGCTCAGCACCCGCGCAGCATCGGGGCGGGGGGTGCGGAGCCTGGGAGGCACGCGGGGGCCAGGCCGGGCCGGGGCTTGGCGCACACCCGCCTCCAGGCTCGTGGCTCAGTCTCCACCGCACCGCGCCCAAGCAGCTGCCGCCGCTGAGATCATGCCACTGCACTCTAGCCTGAGAAAAAGAGCAAGAACAGACCTTTTCCGTAAATAAAAATAAATAAATAAATAAAATGTTTATTTGAGAGAAGGTCGAAAAATACTTATTATTATTATTATTATTATTATTATTATTTTTGAGATGGAGTTTCGCTCTTGTTACCCAGGCTGGAGTGCAATGGCGCGATCTCGGCTCACCGCAACCTCCGCCTCCTGGGTTCGGGCAATTCTCCTGCCTCAGCCTCCCGAGTAGCTGGAATTACAGGCACGCACCACCATGCCCAGCTAGTTTTTTGTTGTTTTAGTAGAGACGGGGCTTCACCATGTTGACCAGGATGGTCTCGATCTCTCGACCTTGTGATCCATCCGCCTCGGCCTCCCAAAGTGCTGGGATTACAGGCTTGAGCCACCGCGCGCGGCCCAAATGGCAGTTTCTTAAGGATTCGTTGCGATATGGAATCTGAAACCATGCCAATGAACTTTTTGTACTCTTGCATTAAAATCTTTCTCATGCACTTGTCTTAGTTAATTGGGAGGATGAGGAGGGAAGATGGCTTGAGCCTAGCTCGGGCAACGTAGCAAGACTCTGTCTCTTAAAAAAAAGTCCTTATTACAATTCGATGGGATCTTTCTCACACGTATGGTTTTGTACCATCAGACACTGGTCTTTTAGAATTTATCGGTTCACTTTCTTAGGCAGATCTTCTAAATGTTGACACAATTCATTATACAGTATCAAAAGATCACATTGTTACTGTCTCCATCAATCTGTTCTGAAAAGTCTTTTAAGTGTTAGGAAGCTAGCAGGCTCATGGTGACAAGTGCAAGTTTTCCAAAATTCTAATTTTCACTTGGAGCCTCCCAGGTTCAAGTGATTCTCCTGCCTCAGCCTCCTGAGTAGTCGCTGGGACTACAGGCGTGTACCACCATGCTAGGCTAATTTTTGTATTTTTAGTAGAGTTGGGGTTTCACTATGTTGGTCAGGCTGGTCTCTAACTCCTGACCTTAGGTGATCCTCCCGCCTTGGCCTCCCAAAGTGCTGGGATTACAGGTGTGAGCCACTGCATCTGGCCGGATTTTTGTGTTTTGGGGGGAGTGTAGTTTAGCAACTGTTGGAGGTCATGATCACTTGGGTGAGATGGTTGTTGTCTGGCTGGCATTTCAGAAAGGAGCTAATTGGAGCAAGTCTCTTTTTGTTGGGCTGACTATAACAAAACATGTTCATTGGGTCAGTTGTCACTAACGGATTAACAGGGTTAAAACCAGCTCTGTTGCTTGTTACCATGGCTTAGTTCAATCTGCCTTTCACAGCAATGTGGGAGCCTTTAAATGGTGAATTCTATACCAGCTCTGTCCAATAGAAATAAAATAATAGTCTGGTTGGGCACAGTGGCTCATGCCTGTAATCCCAGCACTTTGGGAGGCTGAGGTGGGTAGATCACAAGGTCAGGAGTTTGAGACCAGCCCAGCCAGTATGGTGAAACCCCATCTCTACTAAAAACACAAAAATTAGCAGGGTGTGGTGGTGCATGCCTGTAATTCCACCTACTTGGGAGGCTGAGGCAGGAGAATTTCTTGAACCCAGGAGGCAGAGGTTGTGGTGAGCCAAGATTGTGCCATTGCATTCCAGCCTGGGCAACAAGAGTGAAACTCTGTCTCAAAAAAAGAAAGAAAGAAAGAAATATAATAATAGTCACTTTTGCAATTTTAAACTTTCCAGGAGCCACATAAAGTAAAAAGAGGTGAAATTAATTTTAATAATATGTTTGACTTAGCCCAATACATCCAAAACATCATTTCAACATGCAATCAACATAAAAAAATTGAGATTATTTTCTTTACCCCTTGGAGCATTCAGGATTAATAAGATGTTTTACATTATTTTTCCCATATGGAGTCTTCAAAATCCAATGTGTGTTCTACACTTACAGTACATCTCAATTTGGACCAGCCATATTGCAAATGTTAGAGTAGGCGTCTATGGGTAGTGGCCTCATTTTAGACAGTGCACTTCTATACTAGCTGCTGGGAATACAAGGATGGAGAAGAAGGCTTGGCTGCTCTCCAGGCTGTCAGAGTCTTAAGGACGTATAGCCTTGTAAATGTAGGACCAGGACCGGGATGAGGTAAGCAAGGCACGGACACAAAATTTAAGGACATGCTTTCTTAGGGAAGACTTTGCACTCACTTGTGCAAAGCCGAGAGTGAATAACTCCTTAAATCGTGCACCCTCTGCACCTTATGTGCCTCGCTCTAGTCCTGGGCCTGCCTCAGGGCCTTTTAAACTGCAGATTCTAGGACCCCAATCCCAGAGCTTACAATTCCTGTGATCCTGGAGGGATCTAGGAATCTGGAGTTTGAGTAAGCATCCCTAGCGATTCTAATGCAGGTGTTTTGGATTATCACCCTTTGAAAAACTCTGCCTCTTCCACAACCTCAAACAAGAGCTCCTTTACAAGCAGTGAAATAACTTCTTTCTGTTTGGATTGGGAGTGGATGTTGCTGAACTCATCAGTTCCCTATTTGAATTTTTAGGGGGTGCAGTGGGAGTCTGAAGTGCCCCCCTTTTTTTTTTGAGTTGGGGTCTTACTTTGTCACCCAAGCTGGAATATAGTGATGCCATCTCGGCTCACTGCAGCCTCCCAGGCACAAGCAAGCCTCCCACTTCAGCCTCCCAAGGAGCTGGGATCACAGGCGCCTGCCACTACGCCCAGCTAGTTTTTGAAGTTCCTCTTGTAGAGAGTTCCTTTGAGTGTGTGTTGCTGGGCTTTTAGCCTGAATGGACCACAAACTGAACAAACCAGAATGCTAGTTTATTGCCAAACAGACATGTTGACTATTTCAGGAATCAAAATATAAAAGGCATGAGGTAGTGATGGAAAATGGGGTTGTGGAGGACAAGGAAAGTTATGTAAGGAAGTGAATTGTTTGAAATGAGAAAGAGCTGAGCTGAAGCACTGAGTTCAGCTTCGGCTTCTTCACGTCGTGTAGCTTGCTTGACACCATCTAAGGCTCCCTCATACTTTGCCACCTTGACCCTAGTCACCCACCTGATTTCAGTGATGCTCAGGTAGAAAGGGGAAGTTGTGGGAAAAGGAAGTTGTCTATGTACTGTGTGATTGTGGTGCACACTGTTGTATTCATGTTGTGGTCATGTGCTTTGATTTTTTTTTTCTTTAAATAGAGATGGGTTTTCACCATGTTAGTCAGGATGGTCTCGATCTCCTGACCTCGTGATCCACCCGCCTCAATCTCCCAAAGTGCTGGGATTACCGGCGTGAGCCACCGCGCCTGGCTCATGTGCTTTGAGATGTCTTTACTAGGGAATGTGAAGCCGTTAGAAATGGGGAGTGCTTGCTTTTACATATGCATGTGTGTGTTTCTGTTTCCAGATCTCCTCTGTGGTCTGCTTCCTACTGTCTCCCGCAGCTTCCTTCATCACTGGAGAGTCGGTGGATGTGTATGGGGGCCAATGTCTCTTTTCTCATTGGTATGAGTTTCCAGGTGAGCAGCTGAGGAGTGAGCAGTCACCAGCTTTAAAATGTATTGTACGTAGTTACTTAAGAGACAAGGATGTTCTCTTATAGAACATCAAAATGTACAAAATATTTATATTCATGAAGTGATTTTTTTGTTTGTTTTGAGACAAAGTCTCACTCTGCTGCCACGCTGGAGCTCAGTGGTGCGATCTCTGCCTCTCAGTTCAAGCGATTCTCCTGCTTCAGCCTCCCGAGTAGCTGGGACTACAGGTGGGAATCATCATGCCCGACTAATTTTTTGTATTTTAGTAGAGACGGGGTTTCACCATGTTGGCCAGGATGATCTCGATCTCCTGACCTCATGATCCACCCACCTCAGCCTCCTGAAGTGCTGGATTTACAGGCGTGAGCCACTGTGCCGGCCCATGATGTGATTGTTTAATGAAATATTCCTAGTCATAGAAAATATCAAACTATCTTTATTAAAGAACTTAGCTTTTTGTGTGTACATAGGTTGGTGGAATTTGAACCCTGAAAAATATTCTCAGTGTGAGTATATTTCTAAAGAGGAGATAGAAAAGAGGCAAGATTGTGCTATAGTGTTGAAGATTTAATTCCATTTTTTTCCTCCAGTAAGTGGCTTACGTATCTGAGCAGAAGAATCAGACCTGCTGAGTGAGGTGGGGTGCTGTAGGGCCATTTTGCATTCTCTTTGGGATATATATTGAATGAAACCATATGAAATTTCTGTATTAATCATTTTTGACGTACAAAAACAGAAGTTTGGCCAGGCATGGTGGCTCATGTTTGTAATCCCAGCACTTCGGGAGGCCGAGGCGGGTGGATCACTTGAGGTCAGGAGTTTGAGACCAGCTTGGCCAACATGGTGAAACCCTGTCTCTACTAAAAATAGATTTAAAAAAACATTAGTCAGGCATGGTGGCGGGTGCCTGTAATCCCAGCTACTTAAGAGGCTGAGGCAGGTGAATCGATTGACCCTGGGAGGTGGAGATTGCAGTGAGCCGAGATCACATCACTGCATTCCAACTTGGGTGACAGAGTGAGACTCTATGTCAAAAAAAAAAAAAAAAAAAAACAACCCAGAAGTTTTATAAGTTTCAATCAAATATTGATATTACTTGCAAATGTCTTTATGTGTGCGTGTGTGTGTGTGTGTGTGTGTGCGTATCTCTTGACTAGACAACAGAACTTTGGTGTCTGAAGGGTCCTAAAAGATCAGAAAGTCCAGTATACTAGTTTTATAAACAGCAAAACATCCACAGAAGTTTAAAGGTTTGTCCAAGCTAATAACTCTAAATCACTCCAAAAACGTAGAAAAGGATATAAAATGCAAATATATTTGAACTTCTGTTGCTAAAGATAATTAAGTGGCTACTAACAAATTAACATGTAACCCAGGCGAGTTTGAATTTCATATCAAGGACCCAGGTTCTACCCACTCTTAGGTGCTGACAGTCTGATCAAGGCTTAAGACGTTTTTTGCATTAGTAAATGATGGGTATGTCTGAGAGGCGAATAAAATCTCAAACTGGTTTTCCTCTACTCTCACGATGCAATGACCATTAGCACTGAATACTTCCGTGTCCACTTTGGGGTTACTTCCCCCATGTGCCAAGCAAGCAAGCAAGCGGTTTTGCAGCAGAGCCCAGCTGGGCATCCTCTCATTCAGTTCTGACACTGGAGATAGGGTCAGATCCCACAGGCTCAGGCCTCCGTTCCACAAGATGCCCCCTGCTTTGGACACAGTCATAAAATTGGGTCTCCAGCTTCAAGTTGGGGTTCCCATGACCCCCTCTTTGGGTTGGAGTAATTTGCTACAGCAGCTCACACAACTCAGGAAAGCACTTAGATTTACTGGTTTGTTGTACAGGATATTACAGGAGATATAGCAGAAGAGGCACACAGGGCAAAGCGTGTGAGAAGGGGCACGTGGCTTCTGTGTCCCTTGTGGCCCCACCACCTGCCAGGAACCTCCATGTGCTCAGCTCTCTGGAAGCTCTTGAACCCAGTCCTTTTGGGTTTTTATGGAGGCTTCATTACATAGGCATGGTTAACTAAACAATTGGCCACTGGTGATCGACTTAATCTCCAGCCCCTCTTCCCTTCCCAGAAGTTGAGGGCCGGTATGGGCTGAAGGTCCCAACCCTCTAATCATGCCTTGGTCTGTCTGGTGACCAGCCCCTAACTGAAGCTAACTAGGGACTGCCAGTCATCAGTCAATCATTAACATGATTGTGTATGCAGGAAATGGGGCCGAAGACCAAACGTATATTTCACAATATCACAGAATAGAACTTTAATTTTACTTATTGTTTTCCCCTCCCACATGTATTTCATTACTAACAACATCATTGTGGTGATGTCCATAAGACACTGTGGTTTTCAGGATCTCAGTTTGTAAGAAGAAATACCTACATGGTTATGCAGTATTATTTTCTAAAAGTATTCAAAGTAGTGAGAGGGTGGAGAGAATCTTTCCACTTCCCTCACCAGTAGAATTCAGTCAGTATTTATTTTTTTTTTTTTGAGACAGAGTTTCCCTCTTGTTGCCCATGCTGCAGTGCAATGGTGCAATCTCAGCTCACCGCAACCTCTGCCTCTCAGGTTCAAGCAATTCTCCTGCCTCAGCCTCCCGAGTAGCTGTGATTACAGGCTTTCTTTTTAAAATTCTAACACTGTTTTTTGTTATTGTTACAAAATGTTTTTTTAAGTTTTTTTTTTTTTTTTTTTTTTTTTTTTTTGAGGCGGAGTTCCGCTCTTGTTACCCAGGCTGGAGTGCAATGGCGCGATCTCGGCTCACCATAACCTCTGCCTCCTGGGCTCAGGCAATTCTCCTGCCTCAGCCTCCTGAGTAGCTGGAATTACAGGCACGCACCACCATGCCCAGCTAATTTTTTGTATTTTTAGTAGAGATGGGGTTTCACCATATTGACCAGGATGGTCTTGATCTCTTGACCTTGTGATCCACCCGCCTCGGCCTCCCAAAGTGCTGGGATTACAGGCTTGAGCCACCGTGCCCAGCCTGCTTTTTTAAGTTTTTGAGGAAAGCAACTGCAACTATCTTTTAAGAATATACTGCCCCCCTGAATAATGGCTGGGAGTATTCAGGTATTCATTATGGTGTTTTCTTTAAGATTGGCAGCTCCAAAGTGAGAATGCCTAAGATGGAAACTTGGCTCTACCCTAAATATAGATAGAAAGTTAATTTCTATGAGCCTCTATTTTTTTTCCTATAGGCAGGGACACATAGAGTATTTATTTCATATAATTGTTGGGAGGATTAAATTAGATAATGCACATTTAAAGCCTTATGACAGGGGCTGGGCACCTTGGCTCATGCCAGTAATCTTGGCGCTTTGGGAGGCTGAGATGGGTCAATTGCTTGATCCCAGGAGTTTGAGACCAGCCTGGGCAACCTGGCAAAACTCTGTCTCAACAAAAAAATGAAAAAAATTAGCTGGGTGTGGTAGCACATGCCTGTAGTCTCTGCTACTTGGGAGGCTTAGATGGGAGGATCACTGGGGCCCAGGAAGTCTAGGCTGCAGTGAGCCATGATCGTGCCACTGCACTCCAGCCTGGGTGATAGAGCGAGACCCTGTCTCAAAAAATGAATAAAAATAAATAATAAACTTCTTTGTCAAATTTGATGCTTTTAATCACAACTCAAAATGGCCTAATCAGTAAAGGAATTCGCTGGCTCACATAACTGAAAAACAGGTAAGACTTGACTATCTTGTTAAGGATGAGATAGTAAGTAACTGAGAAACAGTAAGGTGTGACTGATACTCATCAAGGAAGAGCAGCTCACTGATATCCTCAAGAAAAAATTTTTCCCCTTTCCTGTTTTTTTTTTTTTTTTTTTTTTTTCCCCGAGACAGTGTCTCACTGTGTCACCCAAGCTGGAGTGCAGTGGCGCAATCTCGGCTTACTGCAACCTCTGCCTCCTGAGTTCAAGAGATTCTCCTGCCTCAGTCTCCCGTGTAGCTGAGATTATAGGCACATGCCACCATGCCTAGCTAATTTTTTGTATTTTTAGGAGAGATGGGGTTTTACTGTGTTCCCCAGGCTGGTCTCTCGAACTCCTGAACTCAGGCAATCCACCCGCCTCGGCCTCCCAAAGTGCTACTAGGATTACAAGCGTGAGCCACTGCTCCCGGCCCCTTTTTCCTGTTTTTGTTTCCATGGTGTTGGCTTTATCTTAAGGCAAGCTCTCATTGCAGGTTGGCTACCTGCTGTTTCTATTTGCAAGGCTGCATACTTCTGTGTTCACACCCAAATGGACTGGGGTCGGCAGTCGAGAGGCAGTGACTTTGTTCCAGATTTTCTAAAATTCTGAGATCCACTCTGTATTAGATCAGCTTACGCGAATGTCCATATCCAACCAATAACCGTGGCGGGGTTATAGTGCACTGACTAACTTAGCTTAGACCACGTCTCCTGATGCCAAGCTTCCTTGGAACTGCATAGATCCTCAAATGGAAACAAAGTAAGGACACTATTTTTAAATTGTTACTATGAAGGAGATGCTATTGACGATCCACAGTATGCCAAGCAGTGCACACAAGGTGTCATGTTTAACCCTCACAACTTTTTTTTTTTTTTTCTTTATGGGACAGAGTCTTGCTCTGTCACCCAGGCTGGAGTGAAGTGGCACGATTTTGCAGTGGCACAACTTCCGCCTCCTGGGTTCAAACAATTTTTCTGCCTCAGCCTCCCGAGTAGCTGGGACTACAGGCACGTGCTACCACCCACCACTGGCTAATTTATTTTTTATTTTTTATTTTTTTTGGAATGGAGTCTCACTCTTGTCAGCCAGGCTGGAGTGCAATGGCATGATCTTGGCTTACCACAACCTCCGCCTCCTGGGTTCAAGTGATTTTCCTGCCTCAACCTCTCAAATAGCTGGGATTATAGGTGCGTGCCACCATGCCTGGCTAATTTTTTTGTATTTTTTTTTTTTTTTTTTTTTTTAGTAGAGATGGGGTTTCACCATGTTGGCCAGGCTGGTCTCAAACTCCTGACCTTGTGATCTGCCTGCCTTGGCCTCCCAAAGTGCTGGGATTACAGGTGTGAGCCACCGCACTTGGCCTAACCCTCATAATTTCAAAAGGTAGACATTGTTATATCCTTGAATAGAGGACAGAGCTGAGTGAGGCTCAGGAAGAATCATGCCTCCAAATTCAGGAAAGTTAACGCGTGGCAGACCTGAGATTCAAATCCAAGTCTTTTCTCAAATGTTTGCCCTAAGGATTTCTTTTTTGGTGCTAAGAAAATGAACCAGGGAATGTGAACCAGGGAAAATAACAAGAGGATTTGGTGGGAACCAAGAGGACACATGAGATTAACAGATTTGCAAGTGACAGGAGGCTTTCCACTTTCTTCACAGATCATGACAACTGGCCCGAGGGAGCAGGGGACCTTTCTGTTGTCAAAAAGATGAAGGCATCTTTTAAGCAGAAAGCTAAGCCCTGAGCTGAGGAAACAAGACGTCCTTCATCCCCCACTGCCTTCTGATCTTGAGGAATGTGCCTCGGTACATTTTAAAAGCTTATAGTTAGTATGGAAAACATCTTTCTGATTTTTAAATGTTACTAATTATATCTATGGAAAAACGATTCCTGAAATATATATATTTTTATGTCCCAATCAAAATCTTTTAACCTGTGATCTTAAAATGTTTAAATAACAAACATTGACATATTTTAATGATTTTACTTTTTATTTCTAAAAAACGTATTTGAAAAATGGAATACTTTTAAATCAATAATAATTCTAGGGATCATGAACTCCCAGAAAATTTTATTTAATTATAAAGATAGAGGCCAAGTGTGGTGTTCACACCTGTAATCCCAGCATTTTGGGAGGCTGAGGCGGGTGGATCACCTGAGGTCAGGAGTTGAAGACCAGCCTGGCCAACATGGTAAAACCCCATCGCTACTAAAAAAAAAAAAAAAAAAAAAAAAAAAATTAGCTGAGTGTGGTGGCACACACCTGTAGTCCCAGTTACTTGGGAGGCTGAGGCAGGAGGATCGCTTGAACCCAGGAGGCTGAGGTTGCAGTGAGCCGAGATTGCACCACTGCACTCCAGCCTGGGCAGCAGAGTGAGACTCCATCTCAAAAACAAAAACAAAAAACAAAACAAAAAAAATAATAATGGTAGAAGATAAATCTTAATTGTGGCATAATTATGATTACTACAATTAGAATTATACAATAACTTGTTTTTGGTGACAAATACTTTTGGAACAATAAAGCCTTATGGTAATTATTGATATATAGTTTGTTTTGTTCATGTAGTCAAATTTGTATAAATTCTCTTAATTCAAAGAAAAAGTTATGTGTGTTTCTTTTGGCAGTGCCTGATTTGTGTCTTGATTTCCTACCCAAAGTATTCCCTTTTCTTCATGCACCTCCTTTTGTAGGCAAAAATAAAATTTTAATTGTATGCAAATGTGTTAGGGTTCCATATTCTGCCTTTGATGGCTCCAGTCTGGTAGTTAGACTGTTATTTAAGAAATGCCTTTAGCAGACTGAGTATGTTTGTTCTTTAAACTTCTTTCAAGTGTCTGAGGTGAAGTAGCTATTTTCTCTTATCATGAACATTGATTTATTTATTTAGTTTTGAGCTGTCACTGTGTCACACAGGCTGGAGTGCAGTGGTGCAATTTTGGCTCATTGCAGCCTCTGCCTCCCGGGCTCAAGCGATTCTCCTGCCTTAGCCTCCTGAGTAGCTGGGATTACAGGCGTATGCCATCATGCTCAGGTAATTTTTGTATTTTTAATAGAGCCAGGGTTTCATCATATTGGTCAGGCTGGTCTCGATCTCCTGACCTCAAATGATCCACCTGCTTCGGCCTCCCAAAGTGCTGGGATTACAGGCGTGAGCCACCACACCTGGCCTGTCATTAACACTCATTTAAAAGTGTATGATTTACCAACCTCTGGGGTTTGGGACCCAGAATCTGCAGCTTTCTCGTGCCCTCAAGCAGCACTGGCACAAGGGAGAGGCTAATGAGGTACCCCGGGTGCAACATTTAAGGAGGTATTATGCATTGTCAGGTTTGTGCCCATGCAAAATCACCCTTGAGAGTGAGTGTGTCCTTAAATTTTGTGCCCTTACTAATAATGTGGGAACATCAGAAAGCTTTCTTTTCCCCTCAGATAGCTCTTTAACAGTGGCCTAATGGAACTGATAATGCCATGATGACTGAGAATTACAAGCCCCGTTAGAGGGCAAAGTGGCCCTAATACAGGTTGGTGGAGAAGATGGAAAAGGCAGGGCCTGCTTTCACACGACCTGCGTTGATGACTGCCACCAACTCCTTAAATCTCCACAGCGTTGCCATTGATTTCTGCTTAAGGCACCGAACCCGCCTATGTAGCAGTAACCTTAGCTACAACTCCTTATTAGAGCTGCTTCTTAGACTGTCGCTGGACAGTGGGTCATTATCTATATTTTAGAATTATGAATTTATTATCATAATAGTATCCTATCAATAATATTCTTTTGCCACTATGCTTAGTGAGCTTTGTTGTAGAGTAACTGTTCTTGAATAGGCTTAATGATTTTGAGCTCCTGCTGTGTATTTAGGATTATGTCAGAAGTGAGACATGCAGTGGTGAAAAATACACATGGATCTTGCCTTACTGAGCTTAAAATACAGAAAGAGTGAGAGAGCAGGAGTGTTATAGATGATAAGGCCATGGTGTCCACAGCATATAATTGAAAGAAAAAGACATCTGAAAAACAAAATGAAAACAATTTTATATTTATATTAAAAGAATTTGTTGATAAAGATGACCCTTATCAACATTATCCCTCCCCCACACACGAATCTTTTGGTTTGTGGCTTATGTTAGTTCAGGTCCTCTGAAAAGCAGGTGCTCAGACATGTTGGAAATAAACACTCGGTGCCGCAAATAAAAATTAGCACTGAGACAAGGCCAGGCACAGTGGCTCAAGCCTGTAATCCCAGCACTTTGGGAGGCCGAGGCGGGTGGATCACGAGGTCAAGAGATCAAGACCATCCTGGTCAACATGGTGAAACCCCGTCTCTACTAAAAATACAAAAAAAATTAGCTGGGCATGGTGGCGCGTGCCTGTAATCCCAGCTACTCAGGAGGCTGAGGCAGGAGAATTGCCTGAACCCAGGAAGAGGAGGTTGTGGTGAGCCAAGATCGCGCCATTGCACTCCAGCCTGGGTAACAAGAGCGAAATTCCGTCTCAAAAAAAAAATTAAATAAATAAATAAATAAATAAATAAATAAAAATTAGCACTGAGACAAAGGATCTTTCAGCAATGCAATTTTTACTTCCTGGACTGCAGGAAGGGTACTCCCACTACATCATGCCATAAGAATACAGTGAACAAAGGAAAACACACAAATTGATCTGTTATGAACTTGGGGTCGTGTTTACTGATGTGTCTGATCTCCATTGGCTGGAGGCAGACCTCACAATTTAAACTAAAACCGATGGCTAACAATTTAAAACTTTTCTAAACACGTAAAAGCAATGGCGAGCTGGGGCATGGCTGTGAGCACGTCCAGCACAGATACCGTGGTCAGAGTACAAGGAAATGGAATGTACTATGTACCTGTAAGCATGGCATGTCTAACAGCTACATAGGATGGGGCTTAACAAAGAGTTGTTAGCACACTTATGGTTTATTTTTAAGAAAGGAAACTTTTAAAAAGAAACTTTTCTACTTCCCACAGACATAATGTGATTTGCACCGTCCCCAGTAAGTTGGACGTCCACTCAGAAACCTAATTACAAAGACGGTGAATTCAAAGACCACAGATGGATAAATTTATAACGAAGGGAGGAAAACGGCCAAAAAAGGCTGAGAATGCCCAAGATCAGAACGCCTCTCCCTCAGCGGGGGATCACAGTTCCTCATCAGCAACGGAACAAGGCTTGATGGAGAACGAGTGTGTTCCAATTACAGAAGCAGGCTTCAAAATGTGGATAATGAGAAACTTCTGTGAATTAAAAGAACTTGTTTTAACCCAATCTAAAGCAACTAAGAACTTTGAAAAAAGATTTGACGAAATGTTAACAAGAATACACAATTTAGAGAGGAATATAAGTGAATTGATGGAGCTGAAAAACACAATAGGAGAACTTCGTGAAGTATGCACAAGTTTTAACAGCCGAATTGATCAAGTAGAAGAAAGGATATCAGAGGTCGAAGACCAACTCAATGAAATAAAACAAGAAGACAAGATTAGAGAAAAAAGGATACAAAGGGACGAGCAAAGTCTCCAAGAAATATGGGACTATGTGAAAAGACCTAATCTACGCTTGATAGGTGTACCTGAATGTGACGAAGAGAATGAATCCAAGCTGGAAAATACGCTTCAGGACATTATTCAGGAAAATTTTCCCAGCCTAGTAAGACAGGATAATATTCAACTCCAGGTAATACAGCGAACACCACAGAGATATTCCTCAAGAAGAGCAACTCCAAGGCACATAATCGTCAGATTCACCAGGGTTGAAATGAAGGAGAAAATACTAAGGGCAGCCAGAGAGAAAGGTCAGGTTACCCACAAAGGGAAGCCTATCAGACTTACAGCAGATCTCTCAGCAGAAACCCTACAAGCCAGAAGAGAGTGGGGGCCAATATTCAACATCCTTAAAGAAAAGAACTTTCAACCCAGAATTTCACATCCAGCCAAACTAAGCTTCACATGTGAAGGAAAAATAAAGTTTTTTTGTGAATAAGCAAGCATTCAGAGATTTCATCACCACCAGGCCTGCTTTACAAGAGCTTTTTTTTTTTTTTTTTTTTTTTTTTTTTTTTTTTTTTTTCAGGGAGGAGACCATTTTTGGGGACGGTGCCTGTGGAGGATAAGTGTGGAGAGCCAAAGAAGGCAGTGATGGCCTTCAGACCATGCTGCAAGGCTGACCCATGTAAAAGAGAGGGGAGAGAGGATTGGGCTGGAGGCATCTCAGACTGCAGCCGAGTGATGCTTTCTTAAGACAGGCTTGCTGAACGTGTGTGTTCACATTGACAGCAGCCCATAGGAATAGCAGCACACACTCAGTGGATCACCTGGATTCCACCTGTATTGCTCCCTGTCCCTACTGTGAAAAAGTAACTCTATCTCCTCCTCCTGGTGCCTGGACAAAGGGAGTTCAAAGTGCTCTGGCATCAGACAGTTTGTAGCTCAATGGGACCTTGTGGCATAAGATGTAGTTTGTAGCTCATATCGGGACCCAATGTCCTCTGGCAAGAGCCTCCCTCTTTGGGACCAGGATTTCCAGTGCTGCTATTCTTAAATCCTGCAGCAGATCATTGGAAATGATAGAAAGCAGGGCTACTCCCGATTTCACCCGCTGGACCCCAGACGCGGTCCCAAACCTACTGGTGACACACATCCTTGAGGATAGTACTCCATCCTGGCCCTTCAGCCGGGTCTTGGTAGTTCAAGCCCTCCATGAAGCTGGCTGCCTATGGATGGTTTGGGGTGTGGACTGACGCTGGTTCCACAACCAGGGGCTCACTCTTTCATCTCCTTCACTGGGAAGTAAGTCACCTGATTGGATTGGGACCTTGCCTAGTGGCGAGGCTTTCTATAAGCCCCCAGATTGTCATGGTATCTGAGTCCCTACAGGGAGGAAAGCCAAACTCTTGCTT